TACATAACCCATTATCGTATGGGACCCTAAACTCAACCTTATTTGCACCTTTCTTTTATCATCTCTGTTCTATGCTAAGTTCTCTCAATCTAGAACTCTAGATCTGGGAGACAAAGATCTGGAAGATCTGGGCAACTCAAACCAAACCTGAACTCACTGTATCAAGCCCCCCCACCTGCACCCTTCAAATGTACTCCGCCTTCTGAATTCAGAATCTCATAGACAGAAACAACCAGCAGCAAGTAACCTCAAGGGCCTCTATCCCTCCTCCACCATCCCCCGTATCCCATCAGGTAGCGCCATAAGCACACCTGCCACCTGAAGCAGTTGCCACCTACCGCTCTACCCCACAGACACACCTTGGGTCAAGCCCTCCTCTTTGCTGCGGTGGTCCCATCATTTGACCTCCCCGCCCCCCTGCAGCCTGAACGGCCTCCATTCCAACCTCAGGGTACCGCCCCAAAGGTAATGACTTACCTTTGTCATTAAAAGTAAGTCTTTTCTGCCTAAACTGCCTACACAAAAAAGTTCATTCTTGAATGGGCTATACAAAATGACCTTCAAAGTCTGGCCCTTGACTGCCTCCTAAATTTCCTCCGATCTCCCACACCCCGCTCTCCCATCCCTGCTGGCAACACCAGGCTCCCTGAGGGCCCGTCCATGTGCTGCTCCAGTGGCCTCTTGTGCTCTTCCCCCAGTCCCTGCCCCTGACTTACATATTCTTACTGGTCATTCACAATGCAGCTCAGAAGCCACTGCTTCGGGGGCTCCTCCCTCGCCCGGCATTAGGTGGCCTCTGTTCACATTCCTGTCATAGCATCTGTAGGCTACTTCCCACTAGATTCCTCGGGAGCCCTTCTCCTGTGGTACTCCCAGAGCCTCGCACAACATCCGGTGCTCGGTAAACACTCAGTAAGTATCTGCTAAGTGGATGAAATAATCCCCAATTTAACAATGGCTCCCCCCTTCTTGGGCCCCTCCCTCCATATTACCATAACCTCAGGTCTATTTGCTCTTCCCAATCCTGAACACTATTTTATCCGCTAAAAAAAAAAAAAAAAGTTCCCCAAATCTACCTACTTCATTGCCTTGAGATCGCTTAAATATTTTCATTTCCTTAAAAGGCACGAAAGCTGAATAACTTCGAATATTAAACCACCACCACCATTTTGGCAGTCAATAAATAAGACAAATTATAATTAAGTTGTTTACACAACTAAGATTTCAACAAAGATCTTCGGTACCACTTTCTAAAACTTTGATTCTATTATTGTTTGGTGTTTCACTGAACCTGAAGACATATGTAAAAATTAAACTGCCAAATGTCTCTGAAGAGATTAAAAATAATTGCTGTAGGAAATAAAGATTTTACCACTTGCAGTTTTTTGTTTCCACTTTTTAGCTAATTCTGATTAGTTCTGGGTTATAAAGCATGTCATCCTGTTAGTGAGTGGTCTATTGTCACGATCATCCCTCATGTGTCATCAGATAATGTCTGCTACAATCTCTTACTTGGGACGTCTGAGCTGCAGCTGACAAGGCAAGATCTTTTTTGTGAGCTACGAGCTGAATTTCTTTTCATCCAAAGTTTTAATTCTTATGTACTTACCATATGACCCAACCATCCCATTCCTAAGTATTTTACCTTCGGAGACATAAAAACATAGTGTTCAGACAAAAATCTGTATGCAAATGTTTACAGCAGTTTTATTCACAATCACCAAACACGGGAAAAACCCTAATGTCCTCCAAACAGCGAATGTATAAAAAACTGTGACACATCCATACACTGGTCTACAACCTGGCAATAAAGAAGAACCAAGAATGGATGCACACAGTAACACGGATGGACCTCAAAGGTACTTTACTAAGTGAAAGAAGCCATTTGTATGACGTTCTGGAAAAGGCCAAATACAGGGCCAGAACAAATCAGTGCCTGCCAAGGAGCTGGGACAGGAAGAAGAGTCTGATTGCAAAGGGGGAGCAGGAGGAAAGTTTTGGGGGCAATGGAACCATTCCTCATTATAGATAGTGGTGGCAGGTACACAGCAATATATACTTGTCAAAACACAAAGAACTGTACACCATAGAGTAAATTTTACTGTATGTAAATTCGAAAACTAAAATTGTTTAATTGAATCATGACTTGGTTAAAGATCATCCCCCTAAATGTAATTAACACAAAGGTGTGAATTTCCTTAACATTTTCCACAGCTGCTGTCATTGTTTCCTTGTTCCTGAACTGTATTGATTAGGAAGATGTTAGGGGAACGCAGAGGAAGCCACCCCAGACCTTCCCAGTCTCCCTTGTGTTGGCAACCTTTGTGAAGTTCATCAGAGTAACCCCTGCTCCAGCTGTGAACAGCCAGGTGGAATTCTACCAAGGATGTGGGGAGGGTTATTCAAAACCAACAGAAGACAGACTGTACCCCCACAGCGATGCCCACGAAAGCATTTCAAGGGAAGAAATAAAGGGGATGGGAGACGACAGATCCTAAAATTCTAATTCATCCTAGTCAAAAGCACAAGCAGAACATTCCATTTACATGTTGATGCCTCCTTCCTAAACCCTCCTTTAAAAAGGAGTCAAGGTGAGTGGGGGCGGGGAATCTCTTTGTGACAAAAGAGGCAAAAAAAAAAACGAGTCCTCCTGAACCAGGAGCTCAGTTCTAAAAGCCCTAAGTCCGAGGTTTTTTAACATGGAAAAAATTATTCTAAATAGCCAATTGACAAAAAACAAGCAAAGTTTCAATACACAAGTGACACTTTCTTTCCAGTGTACCCTCTTCAGCCAAACCCACACATTCCTCCTCCGGAGAGGATGACCGCCTTGGAGACTGCTGCCAGCAGTCCCGACCGGGGATGGGCTCCCGAGCTCCAGGTGTGGCTGCCCCCAAGGCAACAGTGACAGCAACAAACAGGCCCCAGCTCCAAGGATAGGTGCCACCCTGTTCCCTCCTGGCTCTTCCAAGAAAGAGAATGTTAATGCTGCGACTTGTCCTCCACACTCACAGTCACATTCCCAAGCCAGAAAACTCTGATCCTCTCCCAGGGGACCTAGGCCTGCCACATTGTTATACCTCAGCATGAGATCGCCACCTGAGTCAGACCTCAATCCAAGATGAGCTCCCTGATTACTGCGCTGGAGAACCAGCTCTCCAACCTCACGCTGCATTTGCAGCTGGAAAGACCGGCCTAAATGCAAAACAAATGCTATTTTCCAGGAGGCTTCTGGGGGGGAGGGAACAAAGCTAAAAACCACAGAGAGTAAACCAGAACATTCTGAGACATGCAAAGCCTTACAAAAAGGGCTTTTAAAACACTTTATCAGGAAAGAGTCCTTGAAAGGGAGTAGCCGTCAAAGTTAAATAAAAATCACTGACTTCCTAAAGGCAGGAGTGAAGGACTAAATTATAAAACAGCTTCTTGTATTAAGCTAATTAAGGTTTATCATATTAGCCATCTGAGTTTTAGCTGGCACCAAAAAAGCAGGAGCAGCATATCAGGCAACGTGGACTGGGGTCTGCTTTGCAAGCAGATTTCTGCCCACACTCTGACACAGCACCTCTGGCAGTCAAAATGATGGAGAACTGAAAACCAATTTAGCACCATGATTTGTAAAGAATTTTGTTCCATCACATAAGCTATTTACTGGTATAGCAGTCTGAGATTATGTCTCTCTCTCTTAAATACCACACGAAGTATTCTGAGCTAACCATGCACTCGTTTCCCTTTGCCTGTTCTCTCACGCACTGGATTGCTCTGCAATCGTATGAAAACAATTTTAACAATAAAAACCCTTGCATACTTGACACCCTCCACTGCAGATATTCTGCCCACCAACTAACTGCCAGCACACAACCAATTCTAAGATCCTC